TCATCCCTCAATACTTCATCTGGTATGAGTGTGAACGAGTTGTCCTAATATCCCGTCCGGTATGAGTGTTAAATTACCAATTCTCGATACGTTGTACGGTATGAGGTAACGTTCACGGTAAGGTTCCTTATGTACCCAATCCATCCACCATCTCTCAAGATATCCACTAAGATTACAATTTATTCATTCACTTAATCAAACAATTTCTCGTTTACCTTTAATTTTCAGTTTCTCAATTAACTATAAATCACGTAAAACAAGCAAAACATGCATCAAGAAAACACAATCGAATTATTATACTAATTCCAGTGTATTATCATGTATTCAAAATTGTAAAATCAATCAATCAGCGAAATATGATAAACAGTAATAAATAACTGATTCCGACTCCATTAGTAACATTTAATTATCGATATTTTTAAATTACGTAAAATACCATATTATTTACAATTAAAATTCAATTTCATAACCGGGAATAAAGTGAGGGATTCTTACTCAAAATTGATGTCTGAAATGCTAGATTTTCAACTGCGCCTACTGGCAGTCTCCAAGTTCCCTAAATTTTTTTTCGGGGATTAAAACACGCTTCAAGTACCTAAAAATACTCCAAAAAATTCAAAATCAGTGTTAAAAATCTCTTTTGGCCAATTCTGGAATTCCAGCACGGCGACTCCGCTGCCCGCGGCAGTTTACCTCGGGTTAGCCATTTTCGGCCAATTTTGTATCAATCCCTGCGAGAAAATATGTTAAGCGGCATCAGTTGTTTGAAAAAAGTTAAAAATCGAAACTTACTGGCGGCAGAGTTTTCTGATGCAGTGGCTCCGCCGGCTCACCTTCGCGGTTGGGTGTTTTGCTTTGATCAACCTATAGAAAAAGGAATGGTGATTACAATGGTGAAAAAATTATACGAAACGGAAATCGGAAAGTGCCTCATCGGAGGTGGTTTTTGTTTTTTTCTCGTGGTGGCGTCGCTGGGCTTTACCTATGGTTTCAAGCTCATTCGCCTATCATTTTGCTTCGATTTGGTCATGAAGGTGTTCAAAATTGAATTTCGAGTGAATGAGAAAAACTTTACCTCTTTTGGCAGTCGGAAGTGGCTCCGCGCGATGGGAGGCGCCGGTCGGCTCCCTTCCCGGCGATTGGCTCTTCTTCTTCGGCGGGGGGTCTAGTGGCTAGGGTTTGGGTTTGGTGTGAAGAGGGGTATTTATATCCGTCTCCTTTTAATCTGGCTTATCTATCGTGTTTGATCTAAACCGTCCGATTGCGTTTAAATAGGAAGTGAATCTGGACCGTTCATCGCAAGTTGATCTTGGCCATCCGATCATATTTAAATAAGAAATAGATATGGACTGTTCATTGAGTTTAATCGCGACCATCTGATCGCGTCTGAGGAGGGATTAGATCCGGACCGTCTACGCACGCGGGAACAAATCTGAATCGTCCGATCGCAGGCACGCGGATCGCCAGTGTGGCCTCCCGCATGACACCGCGTCAGTGTGTCTTGCAACATGGTGCACTCTGATTCGTCGGGACTGCTGACTGAGCATCCTACATGACACATTTTTTTTAAATTAAGTTTTAATCATCAGTTTCTGATTTTTCTTTCAAAAATACCTACAGAATCCAAATTTTCATTTCATTTTTTCAAAATTATTTTCAATTTCATTCTCCACCTATTTTTTTTTTCTAATTTTACATTAAATAATAATTTATAAAATTAAAAATTAAATTTTATACATAAATTTTAAATATTACAAATTAATTTCAGATATTACAGAAAATGACACTTAAAAGATCATTTATCTTGCATATGCACAGAAAAAATTAGATTTCTAGAATAAAAATTAGAGAGAAACTAGCATTTGTTTTTGCCCATATTTAAGATTGTGGAAGCCATTCCTTTCCGTGAAAGTCGCGCATGCTGTGAAGAAGAAACCATAAGCGTCCTGACCCACTGTATTTAAACTCATTATGTTGAAGAGATTAAAGTTATGAGGTATAATCTCCATATGCAAGAGACCTTGAATATTGATGAGAGATGGCGAGAAAGAGATGGTAGTAATAATTGTGAAAAGGAGAATTAGTATAGATGATAAAAGGACATTATCTCATATAATGTAGGTTTACTCTTTTATGTACATTTGGCCCTTCCATCATTCATTCATTTATTCATCATACCGCAAAAACTGAAAAGGAAAATTTAGAAACCAGGGGGTTTGTAGGCAATAAAACTGATGCACTGCACTTGACGCTTGTTGTCGAATCCGATAATGCGAATGAATGAGTTGGGGTAAGCCTTCTTGGCCTCCTCAAGCTCCTTCAACACTTGAGCAGCGTCTGTGCATCCAAACATGGGCAGCTTCCACATGGTCCAGTACCTTCCATCATAGTACCCTGGTGACCTGGCGTTCTCACGGTACACAAATCCATGCTGCATTCCAAACATATATACATATATATACATACCATATTTATCAGTTCATCTCCATCTTCAACAATTTCATTATTTCATAAATTTCTAAAAAGAGAAAAGAGAGAAAGAGAGAGTAGAAAACCTCCAACTCAAATTCCAAGCAAGGAATCCATCCAGAGCGGAGAAGGTATTCAACTTCCTTTGCCAATGATTCGTCGGTTAGAGGAGGCAGGTAAGAGAGAGTCTCGAACTTCTTCTTCCCAATTGGAGGCCAGACCTGAACTCAACAATTTACAATTTTAAAAGCTTCAATCAACTGCCTGCAGTTTATTGAGTATAATTTATAAATGCCTATGTATGTGTGTGTGTGTGTATATATTTCTATACGTATACCTGCATGCATTGCACTTTGCCACCATTGCTTGGAAGGGAAGTGATGTCAGTGGACTTGCGGGTGACGGGGAAAGCTGCGGAGGATTTAAGGCCGGTGAATGGGGCAACTGAGCTGCAGCCGCGGTTGATGGAAGCAATGGTTGTTGATGGGACTATGGAGGCAGCCATTGTCAACTTCTTAATTTCTTATTGATTTGTGCTGTATTATATTGCACTGGTGATAATCCCTTGCAGCTTAGCTCATTATTTATAGCTTCAGGTGGGACATTATGTTCCACTCATGGCAGACGACAGACCAATCTAAACATCTAATGGTGTCCATTTCTTTTTTCCATTTTCCCCATTTTCTCCTTTTTTTTGTTGTTGTTGTTGTTGCTTAATGGATTTTCTGCTGAGGGCTGAAATATTAAGCCTTGACATGATTATTGTTATTTTTTTAAAAATAAATCTTACTTTTTCGATCCCTAGAGGCTCAGAATTTTCGTGCTTAATTTTGTAAATATATAGAAGTTCTACTCTCTTTTTTTCTCTTTGAATTCTCTGTCAATCAAGTATTATTATTATATGCTTTACTATTATTTAACTGCTTTGATTAACTTAGTTAATGTTCAGCATGATCATAGTTGAGTGGACTATATGAGGAAGTCATCTTCTGTTCTTGATAAACCTAACTTGTGGACATGGAGTAATAGAAAAAGCAGAGCCAGCAATAAAGCCATTAGGTTTGTGATTGAAATTTTTAGAAGATAACCCTTTAAAACCAAAGCCTCACAATCATTATTCACATAAGACATCTATCTTTCTATGATTTGGGTACAATTGTATAGTGGCAAATTCCTTTCATTTTGAAATGATTTTTAAGTTGGATTTGGTGTTTACATTCTAATTTCATATAATACTAATATATATACAAATATAATAAATTTAAACAAAAATATCATTTTAGTTCAAATCAATTTTATGTTTAACTTAAAGTTTTTCATGATTCATTCATTAACAAGTAAAAATACAAAAATTAGAAATCAAAAATAAAAATAAAGTTGATTTTAATTATTTATATATTAAAATATAATTTATGACTAACTTTTAATATCAAATAACTAAAGCTTAGAATTAAATGAGATCTTGGTTAGTTGGAAGCAACTTAAGTGAGATCTCGTATGCCACAGAAAAGAAGGGCGGTCGTCGTGTTTTCTTAAAGAAAATGAATACATTTTAAACTGTTAAAGACGTGAGCGGTCCAGAAGATTTTAGTTTCACAGGAAACTGATATATATAATGTAATAGAAGGAAATGAAAGGATAATATATAGGAACAATTAGACTAATTCTTAGAGACTACAATATGACAGTTGTTATTTCTTGAATGTATAATCCAATACTTACCCACATATGGATAAGATCGTGTTCCCCTTGCATTATACTTTTTTCAACTATCTAATAATTATAGAAGATGTCATAAATTATTTTGTTTTGAACAAATGTGGGTGACGGAATCATCATGTGAAGTTGTTGTTATATCTACTTAGAACCAAAACTTTGATTCTTTACTTGAGAAAATTAAAACATGTGGAAACTATTACATATATGGTATAAGTTTATGGTTGGTAGTGTTAGACAACACCCTACAAAATACAAAAGAAGATTGATGAGTTGTAATGCAGTTCTCTTAATAATAAATAGACTCAAATATTAAAATATAATAAGATGGAATTGGATGAATATTTTAAGAAAGATGAGATACATTAAACTCAATGGTCTAAAATTAATTGGTTGAAATGGGATGACAAGAATAAAAATTCTTTCACTTTAGATCTATTAAGCAACAACATTAAAACTTCATTTAGAAATGGAGAAATGAGGGAGGATAATGGATTACAAATTAAAAAATGATTGAAAAAATCTTAACGAAGAACTTTCGAGGAATTTTTTTTCAAGATGATTCCAATGACGCTTGGGATGTGTTGAGTACAGTAGAAAGAAAAGTTCTAACGAACATAAGTACACTTACGCATATAGCATGACGAGAGTCTTAAACATTGGTTAGAAGAAAGTTACAAAATTTATCACTTTAAGTTATAATAAGAATATCATCTATTATATTGTTTTGAATGGAAAAAAAAAAAGTATGATAATATATATTTATGAATACTGGGAGGTACAAACTCATTTACTATTTACATATCAATTAAGATATCAATTAGATCATTCTAATCCTCATTAATATAAAGTAGATGACTCTCAACAAAAAAAAATTCCTTAACTATAGATCCTTAAATCTATCAAAATTAATTTTTTTCCATAAAAAACTATTCTATTTTTCTCATTTTCAAATAACATAAAAGGTAATAAAAAGAATAAGTCTTAATTTCTCGTCACCTTTGATGCCACTCCAAGCATGTAATCCTTCCTAAATGAACTTGGTATCACCGGTCTACTCCTAAAAAACTGCATACTAAAGACCAAATCCGATGAGCAGATGGGCACTGTAGAAAAATATAGTTTGAAGATTCTATATTTTTCTTGTATAAAACAGTACTTGTTTACTAAAATCTTTTCCTTCTTAATTAACTTGTTCAATGTAAGAATTAAAAAGGAAAAGATTTTAGTGAATGAATGTTATCTATGCAAAAAGATAATTCATTACATGAGATAAATTCAATTGATCGTAGAAAAAAGAATCTTGGTTGGCTTTAAAGTATAAGGAGTTTTATATGTAACACATGTCCTCATTAGGTGCTTATTGTGGTCATCTCATGAAACTTCTAAATTTTTTTAAAATAAGCAAGAAAATATATATACATATATATTTGATTAGTTATATGTTTAATTTACATTATGTGTGTGTGTGTACATATATATATATGTAAGCACTTTGATAAAGAGAATTATAAGTTGAAAAATTGACAGGATTAATGAGAATTGTGTAATTTTAAACAATATTATTTTGCTAAAATCATAAAAGGTAAAATAGGATTATTGCATGGCTTATAAGTTAAAAAGAAAAAAATAGATATGCGTGGCTTATTTTTTTATTTTTTTATAAGTCAGTAACTTATGATAGGATTTGGTAAGGTGTTAAAATGCACCTTTTAGTTTGTTTGATATATAATTTTAAAATTTCACGAATAGAAAATATTATTTGTATGACATCAATATTAAATTTAGATTCTTTTTAAAAATTAATATTATCTATTTTAATATTTACTTTTTTTAACAAAATATTGAACTATTATAATAATAAATTATTCACAGAAACTATTAATATGTTGTTTCATAATTATTAATTTTCAACAAATATATGGAACTATTTCTGCTATAATAAATTACACATATAAAAATAATAATATACAAAAATTTTTACAATTTAATATAATTATAATTACAATTACTAAATCATCAATTTTCAAACATTTTTTATAAATAATAATAAATTAAATTTCTCATATTTGAAGGGCATATAAAATTATATTAAAGATTTTTTTTTTTCATAAAGACTGATGTATGAGTAAACAATTTCTATGTAACAATTTAAGAATAAATAGAAAGAAATATGAAGATTCTAGCTTTTTAAGAGACAAATTTGCACTCAAATTTGAATTAAATTTGTTCTTAGAAAATTAAGAACAATCTTATAATATTATCTTTTACTAGTAATATCATAAGATTACATATTTGTCTAATTTTTTTTAATTTATGGTAATATATTAATCTTACTTTAAATTAAAATCTAATTTAAATATAAAATCGGTTGCTCCATTTTTGTAATATTGTACCATAAAATTGATCTCGACAGACATGATTTATAAATATATACACGCATTAGAAATTAATTAAAATACAAATTGCGACAGCCAAAGAAATCAATTAGTCAATATCTGCATGTTTCCCATGGGAAACCTCGCTGTTGCAGAGACACACCTACCCAGTCCAGAGAAAGAATTAAAGAAGGAGCAAAGTAAGTTCCTGAGGACGCCCCCATATTAACAAACCTCATTTTCCCAAATACCACTGCTTTTACGCCTCGCGTGACAAACACGATCAAGAAAAGACTTCATTTTAAATCCAACTCCCCATGACTTCGCGTGGACCCAAACTTTCGGCCCTTTTCCCTCTTCCAACAGTCCCTTCGGTTCCTTTACAGCAAACTTCACACTGCCTACAAAGTAAAGTTCTTACAGTTCACACTAAGCTGCTACTTGCCTCTCTGTTTCTCTCTCGAAGATTCTGGGAGATGGGAGAAGGGAAGGGCTCCACTCTGGTGCACCTTCTGGTTGTGGTTCTCAGCTTAGTCGCCTTTGGATTCGCCATTGCTGCTGAGAGACGGAGAAGCATTGTGAACTTTCCTTTCCCCCTTTTCTCTTTTATGTTATTCCAGTTACTGGTTTTACATGTCGGCATTTTTTCTTGTCTCTATATTTCTGATCTCTGTTTTTGCGATTCCTTTTTAACTTGTTTTTCTATCTTGTTTTGAGATTATTTATCTTGCATTGATTGCTTCGTTCCTTTTTTAGTATATTAAGATAATGAACACATGATTATTAAAGATCTATGTGTTTTGCGGTGATTGATCAATGGAGTTCTTTCGCTTTTTTAGAAAACGGCTGACGTAGTATTTTGTCATGTTGTTCCTACTCTTGTACACGAAAATATATTACTAGGGCTGAAATTTCTTCTCGTTGAACTAGTTGAACTACCGGTCGTCTCTTCTCAGTTTCTAGTCTTCTGGTTTAACATGAGTTACTATCTTGCTGACTTCTATATTTTATAGTGTGTGTGTGTCTTAGGATTTGTTTTATTCTCCTATATATATATTATGTAAACGCTAACGTAGTAGTATATCCTTTTTCTTTTATTGACATTGACCTTCCTTTGAGGCAATAAGATTTAGGAGTGATTGTATATGGAGGCTAACAAGAGAGCTTTCTTTCAGCTCAAAACATCAGAAGGTGCCTAGTTCTGTAGATAATTTTCTCCGAATGATGTCTTCTGGCAAGATGACTCTTATTTGGCATTAACAATTAACATTGCTTATAACTTTTTTTTAAACTGATACTTGGGATCAGTGTTATGTGGCTACCGCAAATTTCCTTTCAGAAACATAATGTGCAGCTCAAGATGATGTGCTCTTCACCAAACCTTTTACTTGCATCTCTGCTTTCTCCACCAAACTAGTATTATACATAGTTCTTTTTTCTTTTTAACAATATATTATCTGATGCGGGAAAGGAAGACCCTTAGAATTGATATTAATGGATATTTGTGAAATTAAAGCGTGTGTTATTAAGGATATTAAGCTTATTTAGGAACTACTGGAATAGGCTTATTGTCAGCTAGTATTTTATTTTTTTATTCAGTTCAGAGTCTTATTTTATTATTATTTTTCTATTTAATTTTATGTCATTTTAAGTTACATAGACACTATAAATACATGACTGTTTTATCATTATTAAATAAATTGCTTATGAATAAAATTATTGATTTTTTTCTAATTGCACTGCGTGGCTGACAACCACGGGATTGTGGTTGTAAAAAACCCTCTAATTGTAGTTGTTGCTAATATCCCCTTGATTGTGGATTGGATTTATCCTTTGTTTTCTTTAATTTTCCTATCTCTCTAAACTCTACTATATTACATCGATTTGGCATCAGAGTTAAGGTTTTTGTTTTTATATCATGCTTCCACACCACTAAACCCTCAAATACTCCAGAAAGAAACCTAAAATCTAACATACCAAACATATACAACTTGGAGAGAGAAATAAAAGCAACAGCCATCCCAGGTCCATATTATATCTCCTATCATGGCTAGGGAGGTGGTTGATACCACCTCTCTCATTGTCCTTAGAGGATCCCAATCAGCACCTCCACCAAATCTCAATGTCTATTATCTCTGGAGTTTGCCTCATTAGCTAGAAATCTTTGCAGTTTGCCTCACTAGCTAGGAGAACCAAGGCCACTTTGTAATCACTTGATCTCCTCCTTCCCTACTGCCATGAGTAACACCAATACCAGCTCCAGAGCTGGGGCCGTTAGATGATTCCTTCACCAGATTACTAATGTCAGAAGACAGCTAGAAGTTCGTTTATGACTCTGATATGTCGACCACTGCTCATTGGTTTGAAGCCCTATGCTGATTGGTTTAAACCAGATTGAGTCAATCTGGTTAAGCTACCTATAGACTAGTTCTTGACCAGTTTAGACTCAGTCCTTGAGGTTTTTGGTGTTCTTTCACTTTTTGGGGTCAGTTTGGTCAAATTCATATTCTATACTCACTTTTTGACAGACTGATTAGTTGGAAAGATGAATTAATGTTTATTGATATATTCACCAAGGCCATTGATTTAGAATGTACCTTAGACCTTCCAATTGGCAGAATGGAAGAGAAAATGGACGTGTACTAGTAATGTTATAGTTCCTTAGGTAAAGGGCTTGAATATGGCTTATGAATATTGATTATTGCTTACAAACCCTCCATATTAAAGTAATGAACTTCATACTTCGAGCCAAGTTAATTATTGTCTCTTAAATGTATATTAAAAGCTAGTCAAGTTGATGGTAGATGCACTTTGTTATTAAGAGCACTGATTGCTAATCAATTTCTCAAGTACTCAAATATCAATGTCAAACTTGAAATTGCTTACTGTATATGTGAGTTAACTAGAATAATGCACCAGATATTCCTTATGATGATGCACAAATGAAGAAGGTTCTTGAACTTAGTGTTTCTATGTTTGAAATATTAGATGATAGAGCAAGATAATCACATGTCAAAGAGATACCAGTGATGTTTTAACGTCCTTAGGTAAAGGGCTTGAATAATGGCTTATGGACATTGATGATATGCTTATAAACCCTCCACATTCAATTAATGAACTCCTTCATCCCTTGAGCCAAGTTAATTATTGTCTCTCAAAATTTATCTTAAAGCTAGTCAAGTTGAGATGCGCTTTTTTCATTATTAAGGGAATTGATTGCTAATCTATTTTGTAAGCACTCAAATATCAATGTAAAACTGGAAGTTGCTTACTGTTTTTGCGAGTTAACCAGAATAATGCACCAGATATTCTTTTTGATGCTGCACAAATGAAGAAGGTTCTTGAACTTATTGTTTCTATGTTTGAAATTTATATGACAGAACAAGATAATCACATGTCAAAGAGATCATAATTCTTAAAATGGTTGTAAGACTTAAGACTATATTTAGTAAGTTTGGATCTTGATTATGAAGGATCAATTGTAGAAATGTTCAAGTACTTTCTAGAGTCTATCCGACCTCAATGAAAGAATGTTTTTGTGTACATGGAAGAAATTATTGCCATTCTTTTAAAAGTGAATTTAGCTCAGTAGAGTTGCTCTCTTAAGTCCTACATAGTGTTAGCAGATATAACAAAAGAGTTTTGCCAATTGCTAATGTGTAGCCGGGAGACTTCTTTAAAGCTGGCTACTTAGCTTGAATCATCTTTTATGCAGAAAATGAAATCATTAGGTGTTTCCTGCATGATTGTAGTAATTTAGTGACCATCATATGCTATGACCAATCTGTACTTATTGAGCAAGGTGATCTCATTATCGTTGATGATCCAACTAAAAACAATAATAACTATATGAAGAAACTAAGGTGATTGTGAAAGTTGTCCTGATTTTTATTGTAAAAATTGAGTCATCTGGTCATGGATCTCTTAATTTAGTTGTAAACAAGAATGTTATTGAGGTTGAAGACAATAATGCTTTATATATATATATATATTGTTTGAGGAAGAAGAAGAAAGAGACTCCCCATTATGATACTGCCTTAAATTTTTCTTGGCTCCTAATGGTGATAAGGAGAGTTTGGCCATTCTCTTTTTGCGGATTCAATCATTCCTAGTTGGTTCACTAGTTATTAAAAGTCTTTTTCTTTGGAAGCATTCTCATTTTCTCATAACAACCTCAAGTTTTGCTAGTTTTAGATTTTTGAAAGGCATGTCCGAGGTTTCCCCTTGTTGCTTTGACATTTTAAATCTCAAGATTGAGTTTTCACTAAATAGGGGAGGATGATGCAGAAAAAAAGAACCCCAAAATTGATGTACTTTAAATTATGGACTATTTTTGTACTTCAAATACTTATGTATTATTAGGGATAATGAGCATATTTAGGACTAGTAAAGATAGGTTTTTGGTAGTTTAATATTTTATTTTTTATTTAGTAGAAGTTGTATTTTGTTATTATTTTCCTATTTGAAAACTAATTATATTAGGCTATATAGACACCTTATAAATACATAAGGTTTTATTGTAATTAAAGAGACTGCTTATAAATCAAACTATTGAGTTTTTCCGTTTGAATTGAGTTCTTCACAAGTCTTTATTATGATTGCCAAACCCTGCAATCATGGTTTGGATTGACTTTTATTTGTTTTAATTTCCTCTCTCTCTAAACCATAATCATTTGTGCTAGTCATAATACGTTTTGAGTGAAACATGCAACTGATAATCGTGTCGCATCTTGATATTGATCCATCATCGTATAGCAGTCATGCTTCTTTAAATTATAACCGAGTATCGTCATCCCTGTCTCGGTTGGTTGGTCCCAAGAGTTATCTTGTTCTCTGATCACCAAGTTCAACCTATTTGAATTGCTGATGCTGCTGTTTTCTATGTGTGTGATTAATAGAAATTTCTTTTGAACAAAAGCATTCTCAATCTTTTTAATTGGAGAGCATGGTTTGATGGTGTTGCTGATAATTGTTGGGGATTACCAAATGTTGGATGGAATCATTTCCTGAAAATTGTTCTGGTACTTAATTGCTAGAGTGTATTCAGTATTAACAGGGAATCAGCAACTGTGATTACACATCCTAAGCAGATACAGTAACTACCATAACACTGACCAGGGATTATTTGAGTCTTGTGTCATAGTCTAATCCTAATTTAATTAGACTAGAATTCTAATAAGAAACTTGAAAGAATTTAAATTATAAATTAAATCTTAATACAAATATCTATTAATCATACTGTTAAAGCAAATAACAGGTTTGAAGGAAAGAAAATTTTTAATTTGTTTAGAGAAGTCACACTCTGTTCTGGCGGATAGAAGAAAATATTTTTTGTAGTTGTAAATAGAAACAACGTTTAGCAAATAAAAAAAAAAATATCAGCCAAAGTATAAAAGTCAACTTTTTAGGAGACTGTCTTTTGTTTATGCTTAATCACCATAAATTCACATGTTAATACATGTTTTTCTGTACAGACGCGGGTAGAAAATGAACATAAAAAAAATTTGTTCATGAAATGAAGTATAATAGCTAATCTTCTCTGCATCAGTAACGATTTGAGATATTGTTTCACGTGGTGTAGAATTTGCAAAATCTGCAGTTGAAGTTTAGAAATGTGTTGGTGGATGGCACCATATAAGAATCACAACTATTTAAGAAAGTAGAAATACCAGCTGGATAGTTGATTCTCCTATTATTGTCAATTCTAAATATGTAAATCGGCTGTTATTTTCTGCATGACAGGGGATGGTAGTTAAAGATGATGTATCAAATGCTACGTATTGTGTCTACAACTCAGATGTGTCCACTGGGTATGGAGTGGGTGCTTTCTTATTTCTTCTTTCAAGTGAATCTCTACTTATGGGCGTGACCAAATGTATGTGTTTTGGGAGACCATTGGCTCCTGGCAGTAACCGAGCATGGTCCATCATCTATTTTGTCTCTTCATGGTAAGAATTTTAGGCCCTTGATGTAGTGAAACTTTCATTTATCATTCTTTACCAGGAAACCCAATGCTGATCAGTGCCCCTTTTACTAATCTAAATCCTGATTTGTAATCTTTTGTTCTTTTCTTTGTTCAAAGTTAAAGGTGTTACTTTCAGGTTTCTTTCTTTTTCTGAGGGAATTGAGATTTTTTGCACCTGTATGCTACTAGGCACCAATGTTATTATAAGAAACCTGTAAATTACCAATTTTTTGTATCATCTTGTCATTTGACAAGCTTTGCAGTTGGTGAGAGGCTCTACATGGAATGCTCAACAAATCTTTATAGGAATTTCCCCCCATGTGTCACTTGTAGAAATTTATTTTATGGAAAAAAGTTGTGCATTAGTGATGGATTATCTACTTAAGCACTCATAACATGTTACTAAAAACTTTAGAACTTATTTCTGTATGCAATATCTGTTTTCAGGTTGACTTTTCTGGTTGCAGAAGCTTGTCTAATTGCGGGTGCCACAAGGAATGCCTATCATACCAAGTATCGGGGAATGATTTATGCCCAGAATTTTTCCTGTGAAACATTGCGAAAAGGTGTTTTCATTGCAGGAGCAGTCTTTGTGGTGGCAACAATGATTCTAAACGTGTATTACTACATGTACTTCACTAAGGCAACTACTACACAGGCAGCTCATAAAACAAATCGTGCAAATTCAACTGTTGGGATGACTGGGTATTCATAGAACCACCTTCCGAGCTTCATATCCATGTTTTGCTGGATTTATTTGGGCCTGTGTTGATTGTATTCTGAAGTCTGCTCTCGTTACTATGTGCTTATTTATTGGTACATATACATAGTCTCCTTATGTATCTCCTGTGCTGATCAAGACCAGAGGATAAAAAATTTAAGAAGAAAACTTGAGAGTGTTTACAAATAGTTGTACCACTTGAGATTTGGAAGTGCGTAACCGACTCAGCGAAAGGAAGTTGGTTCCCTCTTTCATGTTTCTTTTATGTGAAGAGTATTTTGCTAGATAGAATCTAAATGTGTGCACACAGGTTTAAGGTTTGTCTAAATTTGTTATTTAGGGTTGATTGAATTTTCTACGCCATCTTGTTTTCATTTAATCCATTTCAAGTGTGAGGTATATTCGACTAGTATAAACTTAGTTTAGCTTTAATTCTACTTTTAACCTGAATTAAAGAAATGTCTTGATGGCATATTAGGTGACAAAATTCAAGTGACATGTCATTGCTAAAAATGGCATGTAGGACATTATATTAAGGTAGTTTTAGAACATTTATTGAAGTGTTTATCATATGTTAATGAAAGGCTAGGTAGGATATTAATTTATTACGTATATTCGTATTAAGATAACTTAATTATTACAAAATAGTATTTTTACAAGAATTTTGACAGCTTGTAGGAAAGAAATCTTACTTGATTGTTGCAGTTCACAACATATTAATGAGTTAACTCCTAAATTCACTTAATCAA